TACCACTCATTAAGATTTGATTTTAAAGATTTTTTTGTGAGTTCTCTTGTTACATAGATAGTTTACCTTTAATTGGAGTAAAGGGAAATTAATTTTAAGATATTTATAAGTTAGACTTATAAACATTTTAGCCTCTATAGAAAAAACGTGTTAACTTGAGTATTAAATTTAACACTAAAAAAATTAATGTTCATAAATACACTATACCGTGTGAAATGCATTTGTTAAGATCTAATTTTAAAGTGTTAGCAATCTAGTTAACGATACTTTGATTGTATATAAAAAGGATAATTGCAATTAGCGTTGGCAATTTGGATGGGTTTATATTATAAAATAGAAGGGCATGTGCATGTGCTCTGTGGTGGAGGTTAATTAGGAGAATCCCATTTCTGCTCCACATTTGACAGAAAACCATGGATGGATTGGAGAAATTTATTTGTTTGCTGCAATTTCAAATTGCTTTAGGTCAACCTTATTTACTTGTCCAGATTTGCAGCCATTTTCATATTAATTGAAATTAATACTTAAGTTGACTTTGTTTTTCCTTGTCATGGATATTGTTTTCTCTTTTCAATGAATTTAGCTAAAAAATGGGAACCATGCTTAGGACATGTTTTGCAGAGTTTACAACTTCGAATATTTTCTCTCTAACAAATTTGAATTTTGTGAGAGATCAAATAGTTGCTTGAAAGCGCTGTCAAGCATGCTCTTAATAAATACTTAATAAAAATTGAAAATTGTAGATTTATTAATAAATAAGTATCATTTTATAGTTGAAAGTTATAATTTAAGTCTTAAAATAAATACTTAATTAAATTAATTTTTTTTAAAGCAGAAGGTCAATGTGGGAATACTTTTTTTAAATTATATATAAAGAAATTAATCTTTAAGTATATGAAAATTGATTTAAAAACATCCTAACCTTTAATACCAAAATAAAACATTCTCTTAACAAGTCTAGAGGCAGGGCACTTTGCTTGATGGAAGAAAACTCTTTTCCCCTAACGTTGTGCAAGGTGTTATTAAACTAGCACTTTAACAAGACTTTGATTGTAAAATTATAATATGTTAATACCATTAAAACCTCTATCCTAACCAATAAACCAAAGTTTCATTAATGAGTGTTCGTTACTCTTCCATGGATCTATATATAAAGCAACTTATTCTTGTTTTAATTGCTCTTTTTTTCTTTTTTCTTTATTTTTTTGTGGGAGTGAATTTTCTTCTATTGGATTAACAAAACCTATTTTGTCATAAGAGAGGACCTGGTTTTAGAATGGAACATTTTTAATTTTAGAAACTGGCAAAGAAATTTCCAGAGTGAATTAATGATGGTTTATCATAGGCCATTACTTACTGACGCATCACCTGTTGAATAATCTAGATTTATTTTACACGTTTGGATTTAACTTGGTAAGTGTGTGTGGCCTACAATAATGATTTGGTGAGACCATTTGATTTATAATACCTAATAATGGTAAAATCCCTAGAAAAATCACAGGAGCTCTGGTTTCTACCCTGAGTTCATAATGATAGCTAGAAACTGTGGGTGTTTTCTTTTTTT